TCTTCCCTCAACAAAATTTTCTTTTTCTTTCTTTCTATTTTTTTTTTTTTTGAGTTGGATTCCAGGCTGGAGTGCAATGGCCCAATCTGGACTCACTGCAACCTCTGCCTCCTGGGTTCAAGTGATTCTCCTGCCTCAGCCTCCCAAGTAGCTGGGATTACAGGTGCCCACCACCATGCCTGGCTAATTTTTTTTGGAGTTTTAGTAGAGATTGGATTTCACCATGTTGGCCAGGCTAGTCTTGAACTCCTGATCTCAGGTGATCCACCCACCTCAGCCTCCCAAAGTGCTGAAATTACAGGAGTGAGCTACCACACCTGGCTGAGAAAAAAATCTTTTTACTGAGTTAAACCATAGCAAATACTGTAATATTTTCTTAAAGCTAATGTGGCATTTTGAGGTTAATGTGACCAATTCATTAATTGTTATAAGTCTATTATAATGTTTGCACTTTTTGCCCTCTCTTTTTAATGTGAATTAAGTGGGTGACATTTTTTTTTTCAAACTAGTAATGCAGGTGTTTCTCTCTCTCTCTCTCTCTCTCTCTCTCTCTCTCTCTCTTTTTAATTGCATTTTAGGTTTTGGGGTACATGTGAAGAATATGCAAGATTGTTGCATAGGTACACACATGGCAGTGTGATGTGCTGCCTTCCGCCCCATCATCTATATCTGGCATTTCTCCCCATGCTGTCTCTCCCCAACTCCCCACCCCCTGCTTCCCTCCCCTATTTCCCCCCAACAGACCCCAGTGTGTGATGCTCCACTCCCTGTGTCCATGTGTTCTCATTGTTCAACACCCACCTATGAGTGAGAACATGTGCTGTTTGATTTTCTGTTCTTGTGTCAGTTTGCTGAGAATGATGGTTTCCAGATTCATCCATGTCCCTACAAAGGACATGAACTCATTGTTTTTTATGGCTGCATAGTATTCCATGGGGTATATGTGCCACATTTTCCCAGTCCAGTCTATCATCAATGGTCATTTGGGTTGATTCCAGGTCTTTGCTATTGTAAACAGTGCTGCAATGAACATTCGTGTGCATGTGTCCTTATAGTAGAATGATTTATAGTCCTTTGGATATATACCCAGTAATGGGATTGCTGGGTCAAATGGAATTGCTACGTCTAGGTCTTGAGGAATCGCCACACTGTCTTCCACAATGATTGAACTAATTTACACTCCCACCAACAGTGTAAAAGTGTTCCTATTTCTCCACATCCTTTCCAGCATCTATTGTCTCCAGATTTTTTAATAATCACCATTCTAACTGGCGTGAGATGGTATCTCAATGTAGTTTTGATTTGCATTTCTCTAATGACCAGTGATGATGAGCATTTTTTCATATGTTTGTTGGCCTCATGTATGTCTTCTTTTGTAAAGTGTCTGTTCATGTCCTTTGCCCACTTTTCAATGGGCTTGTTTGTTTTTTTCTTGTAAATCTGTTTTAGTTCTTTGTAGATTGTGGCTATCAGCCCTTTGTCAGATGAGTAGTTTGCAAAAATTTTTTCCCATTCTGTTGGTTGCAAGTGGGTGATGTTTTTAAAAGTCAGGTATAAATAAGTGCCATTGGTGAGGAATGTTTTCCTGCTGCACAGTTCCTGACAAGTTAGTTATTTTCCAAAGTAAGCATACTCACCACCAGCCAGGTAAAGATTATATTAATTACCCATAAGAGTAAAGCCGTCTGGGTGCAGGGGCTCATGCCTGTAATCCCAGCACTTTGGGAGGCCGAGGCAGGTGAATCATGAGGTCAAGGGATTGAGACCATCCTGGCCAACATGGTGAAACCCCATCTCTACTAAAAATACAAAAAATAGCTGGGCATGGTGGTGTGTGCCTGTAGTCCCAGCAACTTGGGGGGCGCTGAGGCAGGAGAATCGCTTGAACTTGGGAGGTGGAGGTTGCAGTGAGGGAAGATTGCACCACTGCATTCCAGCCTGGTGACAGAGTGAGACTCTGTCCTCCCACCAAAAAAAAAACAAAAACAAAAACAAAAAGAAAAAGAAGGAAAGTAAAGCAAAGTAAGTGCATTCAGCATCAACCAGATAAAAATTATATTCATTAGCAACAAGAGTAAAACTTTATTTATTTATGTATTTATTTTGAGACGGAGTTTCACTCTTGAGCCACCACGCTTGGCCAAGAGTAAAACTTTATATAGTGTAGAAATGAATAAGATTATTTGGATAAGCTCAGAGGTAATTACTGGTCAAGCTCTGAAGAGGCACAGAAACAGAGGTTGCTGTGTGCTCAGGCCATGAAATGGGGGCATGATGAGAGCAGAGGACCTTGCTTGGGATGTGAGAGGATCCTGAGAATAGCTTCATCTATTTAACAATGATATCTTTGTCAAATTACAGATCAGCTTCCTCTTTACTTCTTCATTTGAAAATTTTTCCTCTGCCAGCATGGAATTTTGCTTGTTACCAGTTGAATTCTATTCCTAAATCTAATTAACTATAAATTCAAAGCAAGAAGAGTTTCAGTGACTGATGTTATTGGACTGGAGTGAGGTGGAGCCACATGGAAGTGCATGTGGACAAAACCTAATGCTATATTTTACCGTGAAACAGTGAATGTCTATTTTCCATCAAGTGAAGTTTTCTTCTGACTTTTAATTGGTCAATTGGTGGGAGAGAGCTGTTGATTTTTTAAGTCCAACATTTCTGGTTTCTTTTTTAGTTATTAGAAATACAGTTTGGTTTCCTGAGGGCAATATGAATCTTTTTTTGTTTTCTTAAGGTCATGATTGAAGGAGAATGGGGTAAATAAGGGAAGAGAGAACAAATGGTCAGAGATATTGAGCAATGTTAATAATACAAATAACTCAAAGTTCATTTCTTCTGAGTTTTCTTTAAAGGTGTATAAAGTTAAGATGTTGATGTGAGTGACCAAAGTGAAACATGTTATCTACATGTTTAATGCTCCAAAAAGCCAGAGGAAGACTCTCCATGCTAATGGCTACTGTTTCCGAAGGTCTAGCTGGACCGTATATTTTGTCATCCTACTTTGCTTCCTGTATCAGCTGAGGAAATGCAAGATTTCCCAGGCACCTGAATTAATGCCCAATCATCCTTTAGAGAAGTTTATTGTAGGCTGTGCATATAAAGCAGATATGTGTAGCCTTGCTGGATTATCTCTTGTGTTTATAATCCTCACATTTTTTCCTTCTTCTTTATTTACCTTATCAACTAAAGACATCATAGACTATATCCAGCTATTTTTGAATCAGCAGATGACCACTAGATGTAGGAACTCATCATAGAAGTGGAGTAGTAGTAGTAGGGGTCGGATGCTAAGACAAGAGGCTTACTTTTAGAGCCTCCCATATTCACTGCGTGCATCTTAACTTTAGAGTAGACTTAAAAAGCTTTATCAATAGCTTAGCAAGAGCATACAGAATAATCGATTTCTTTACTGGTATCCAGGCTTGCAAATGCATACCTGTGTTGATGACATCAAGAGTCATTTTCTGGGCCAGGCACAGTGGCTCACACCTATAATCCCAGCATTTTGGAAGGCTGAGGCAGGTGAATCACTTGAGGTCAAGAGTTCAAGACCAGCCTGACCAACATGGTAAAACCCTGTCTCTATTAAAAATACAAAAATTAGCCAGGCATGGTGGCACACATCTGTAATGTCAGCTACTCAGGAGGCTCAGGCATGATAATTGTTCCAACTTGGGAGGTGGAGGTTGCAGTGAGCCGAGATCGCACCATTGCTCCAGCCAGGGGGACAGAGTAAGATTCCGTCTCAAAAAAAAAAAAAAAAAAAAAAAAAAAGAGTCACTTTCTGGAGGGACATTCTCCCTTCTTTTTACTATATGTTTTAAAATTCAAATTATGTGATTTTTGGGTCACACTATACTTTTTTAGAAAAAATATTTACCTATGCTCAAGACAGCTTGGAGGTGTCACACTATACTTTTTGCATTTTACATTACAGAGATCTCAGATGGTGATTTCTAGAGCAGCATCTCATAAATTCAGATATGCCGACATAACTGCCAAAACAATTATGTGAACCCATACATTTTGGTGAAATATGAAGTATCTTGTAATGAAAGTACTCATATTGAGATTTTTTTTGGAAAAAAAAGATCATTTGGAAAAATAAACTAGTGATACAATAACATATTTTTATTTTGAAAGGATAAGTCTTAAAAGACAGTTTTATACAGAATAAGTTAATGCATTTTTCAATGTGTGATTAAGATATAAAACTGGCCGGGGAGAGGGGAATGTAAGCACTAGGGGATGGCCTGGATAATCTACCTCTAAGATTCTGTCTTATGCTGAAATTCTATGATGCAGATGTTGCAGAATATATAAAACTACAGAGTGGTGGCTCATTCAGCATCCCAGACGGTCACCTTTCAGGAAAAGGAGACTATGGTGTTTTCATGGGAGTGCTGAAAGTCATTAAAAAAACAATTGATATATATTTATTGGATATCTTCTATGTTCAAGACACTGTGCTAGGTACTTTAGAAGATTCAGGCCGGGCACGGTGGCTCAAGCCTGTAATCCCAACACTTTGGGCGGCCGAGGCAGGTGGATCACGAGGTCAAGAGATCGAGACTATCCTGGTCAACATGGTGAAACCCCATCTCTGCTAAAAAAAGTACAAAAAATTAGCTGGGCATAGTGGCGCGTGCCTGTAATCCCAGCTACTCCGGAGGCTGAGGCAGGAGAATTGCCTGAACCCAGGAGGCGGAGGTTGCGGTGAGCCGAGATCGCGCCATTGCACTCCAGCCTGGGTAACAAGAGCGAAACTCTGTCTCAAAAAAAAAAAAAAAAAAAAAGATTCAAGGGGAAGATTCCTTTTCTCACGAAGTTTTCAACATTGTGTTTCCCCAAATTTCTGAAGTCTTCTTATGAAATCTGCCCCTAAAAATGTATCCTAAGAAGTCCCTTAAAGTTATAAGGTATGATTTTAGGCAATTCTGAGAACTTTTCCTGCTCTAGGCAAGGGATATAGAGATAATAGGCCAATATGCTATTAATAATAATAATAATATGCTATTAATTAATCCCAGATGTATCATAAGCGAGGCATATAGAAATATCTACTTTACAAAATAATTTACACAATTTATTCAAGATACCAAGAAAGTTGATCTGTGAATAATTCTGCATGGACATGAAGAATGTTAGTAGTAGCACATACTGGTAGAATAGCTTATGCTGAACTAGTGAAAAAACAACAACAACAACTAAACATTGAGTTTTTATTTGTTTAAGACAGTGTTTCCCAAAATGTCTTCAAGAGATCCTGCGGGTTATGAATTGGCAGTGTGTGGCAAGTCCTAATCTTTTTTCCTGGATGTGCAGTCTCAGAGCAGCAGTTTCTTCAGTTCCTCATTCTCCATCTTTCTAAGCCTTTTTCCTAGACTGCTAGTTCTGGGTATGCTGCCTTCCTATCTCCTTAAATACATCTCTCTAACTGAACTGTGTCTACTTGGTAGAGACCCTAAGATAACTAAAAGCAAAGTAGCTATCAGTGTCTACCATTTCCAAAATATATTCTATAATGATGGTTAAGCTGGGTCAAGAAAAAATTAGGGCAGGATTTAAAGAGTAGATAAAAAAGGAAGAGAATGACATACAATCTTAAGATGAAAATGGTGTAGCAGGGAAAAAGATAAATTGAAGGGAAGAAAGGAGTCAGAGGGGAGAGGGATTAGTTGACAAATGGTACACTGGAGGATAAAACAGATAGGTGGGAAGAGAGGAAGACATAATGGAGGAGGTAGACATAAAGAAAGGACTAGTAGACTGGTGCAGTGGCTCACACCTGGAATCCCAGCACTTTGGGAGGCCGAGGCGGGTGGATCACGAGGTCAAGAGATCGAGACCATCCTGGCCAACATGGTGAAACCCTGTCTCTACTTAAAATACAAAAAATTAGCTGAGTGTAGTGGCATGTGCCTGTAGTCTCAGCTACTCAGGAGGCTGAGGCAGGAGAATCGCTTGAACCTGGAAGGTGGAGGGTGCAGTGAGCTGAGATCGCACCACTGCACTCAAGCCTGGCGACAAAGCGAGACCCTGTCTCAAAACAAACAAACAAAAAAGACTACTGATGGTTAAAATATCTAGTTTAACATGTAGTAAGTGATACATAGAGAGCAAAAGATGAGGAATAGCTAAATACAGAATGGTTGAGGGAGAGAGAAAAGAAGGAAGAAAGCTAAGCAAAGGAAATGATAAAGGTAAAGAGAGTGGCAGTGGCAGTGGAAGAAAAAAATGCTTGAAGAGAATATTGAGTAGGAAAAAAACCCTGTCAAGATCAACACAAGTTAATCATGTACAGTGCATCAGGACTATACTGATGTGTGGATCTCCATATGTAAAATGGAAAGTTAATCTGCCTTTCAGTCTTGCAAAACCAGTTTTGCAAGTATGGAACTTTGAGAGCAAAAGGAGAAGTCAGGAAGCAAAAAGAAACTAACTCAGACAAGTGGCTTCCAAGTTTCTAGGCAGGGATGGTCTGCACTAATTCGTGAAAGTGCTAGATCTGGTGACGCCCAGAGGCCTAATCTCAGCTCCACCTGGGTCACTACTCATATTGCTGAGAGGGGAAAAAAACTTCAGGATTACCAGGATAGATACTTAATTGAGTCTTGGGGAAAAAAGTTTGGGAACCATTGGTATAAAATGTCAGTTATTTCCCTTCCCCTGAAAATGTTTGGTTGAGATAACCCCTAGGCCTGAAGTAGTAAGCAGTCTTGTATCTGGTCCTGTGCATTGGTCCCTCTTTGAAGGAATTCAAATGGAGTGTGTTCCCCTGCATCAAGTGGGTCTACATTTATACTCTTAAATTGTTCCCCAGTAGCTAACTCAACCAATGTGTTAGGATTTTCAGTAGGCATAATTGAATCCCCATCAAATGGGCTTTGCCTTCCATTGCTAGATGGAGATCCAATGCTGGAAGAGTGATGCTTTGCTAATTTGGAGCTAAAGCATGGCAAATGCAGGATGTTAGATGGTCTTTGTTGCTGCCTCTCACTCTCATTTCCTTGGATTTGACTTTGGATGCCTTCTGGATCAGAGCCTTCATCAGGTGTACCAATAACAAGTTGCTCAGGAGTAAGGTCAGTAGTTCTTTCATTGAGCTGGTTGTCTTCAAAAATTTGTTCCAGAATGTTGTTCCCATCTCCTCCAAGATCATTTTTGAGACAAGGCGTATTCTTTGATTGAAGGGAACCAGCTTCAGGAAAGGGCATAATTTCCTTTTGGTCCAGTTGATTCTTTATAGAACATGGTGTGTTCCTCCTCAGAGTGGACACATCATCTCTGAAAGGACTCGGGTTTTGGCTTTCCCTCTTCTCTGAGCTGTTTCTTTGGACTGGTAGGATGTTTGTTGGGGAGACGATATGTCTTGTGTGCTTGGTATGACTACCTTCTGTATACAGAGGACTGGTGTCTTGGTTCTCCCCAGGTGCAAGACCATACGATGGAGTATAGTCTTGTAGAGCTAGTGGATTGTCCTTGGGCCCTGTGGAGCTCCCAGCACAGCAGGAGCCTCTCTGGCTTAGGTGAAATAAATGTGCTTCTTTTTGACCTGATGGGTAACTTTGTGGGATAAAGTCACGGAAAGATGAATGTTCTCTCTCTGGAGAATTTATCCTAGTTATTTGCATGCCGTAGTTCAAATTCTCGCCTTCATGCCATATTGGATTTTTCTGAAGCCCAGCTGGGGTGTTACTGGAATAGGGCTGATTACCTTTTTGGTCTGGTGGCCTAGCTGGGGCTTTTTGTAAATGTGTTGCCTGATCCCAGGTATTTCTGTTAAAATACGGCCTTATTTCTTTCTGCCCTTGGGCTTGTATCCTGTGGTCCCAGGAGTTCCATGAAGGAAACAGAGTGCTTTCTTCTGGTCCAATGGCATTATTAAGATAGTAGCCCCTGCTCTCTATAGGTGGTGACATAGTAGGAGCTGTATTATATGATGGAATATTTTCATCCAGGCTCCATGGGTAGAATTCACTATAATAAAAGTCCTCCTTTGGTTTTGATGGATTATCTAAAGAATAGGGAAGATATTCCTTTGGCTGATTTGAGGTATATTGTTCACCTTCATAGTGCCTAACTGTTGGGCTTCCTTTGAAGCTTAACTCTTCACCCCATCTATATTGTCCAGGAAAATATTCATCTCCAGTTGGATCAATTGGGTCCTCTTCATTATAAGGGACTGTCTCTTTCTGGTCTGGGGTATTTATGGGGTACAGCGGACTTTCTTTTTCCCCCATAGTATTTGGAGAATCCTCTCTCTCATCCCATGTATTGCTTCTACGATATGGTGAGTTTTCCCTGGGATCATAGGGGTTATATTCAGGGTAGAAAACACTTCCTCTAGAACCATGGGAAGAATGAGGTAAATGTTCTTCTTGCCTCCCAGGATCTTCCTTAAAAGGTGGAGAGATTTCTTGGTGGTTCCAAGAATTTCTTCTAGCAGGAAAATCTTCTTTTGCAGAAGAAGGGATTTCCTCAGGGTATACAGGCTTTTCCTCAAGGTATACAGGCTGATATGAGCTGTGCTTTAATTTGGGCTGATTAGTTTCTGATTCATATGGGATTCTTCTTGGCCCTAAAACTATCCCTTTGGGCAAATTCTGGCTTTGGGTTTGTCCATCAGAATTTGGGACTTTTCTGGAATCTCCTCTTGGGTAATAGGAGTTTTCATGTTGATCAACAGAATTAAAATTTGGGACTGGCGTGTAACCTTCAGAGTGAGGCAGTTTATAATTTGATTTATTAACTTCATACTGTTGAGAGTTTCTCCAGGGGCTGGTTGGAGTCTTTGTAGGAACAATTATTTGTTCTTTTGGACTTAGTGGCTTTTCCCTTGGATTTTGAATTTTTTCATTTTGAACAACAGGGTCATGTTTGGGACCCAGTGGGGCAACATTAGTTCTCACAGGGTGTTTATTTGGCCCCTGAGGCTTTCTTCTAAGATTTGCTGGATTTCCTGCATAATTGGGATAATTGCCTCTTGAAGTAGAAGGGTAAGCTATGTGATAAACTGGATTTCTTGGACGAGCTACTTGTTTACCTTCCCAAGGAAATGAGTTCCACCGAAGACCCCTTTGAACTTGTCTATTTCTGTAAAAAGGTCCATTCTGTCTGTGCCCCATGGTAGTGGGATACCACTGTCTTCCTGAAGGAAAACTTCTTATATTAGGATTTGGATGATTTACACGAATATTTGGTTGACTTGGTCTCCATGGGATTTGACTTCCTGGCCCTCTCTGGCCTGAAGCATTGACTGCAGGGACTGGGCCGATCCCATTTTGACCTGGGGGGTTGTTCCCAGTGTTTGGCCCTGGAGTACTGTTCACTGTGGGGCTAGTATCATTTCCGCCCTGACTCCCTCTAGGGTTCGGTTGGGTAGAATTTGTTGTTGAATTAGCTGTGGGTTCTGTGCCTGGACTTTCTGCTTTAGGAGGATCTTCTTCTTTGGGTTTTTCAAAATCTTGTTCAAACATTTCTTCTGAATAATAAGGAGGGCGACCCCCAAAGCCATGATATCCAAAATATCCAAAGTAAGGATTCTGTGGGAAAGAAGATGGAAATCAATAATTACCCTTTGTTTCCCACCATGGTATTGCTTAGAATTTTTTAGTATAACAGGGAAATCTTATCAGCCACGTTTCTTTTAACATCATAAGCTTTACTTTCTTGAAATTTGATTCCTCCTTGGTTTCCATGACCATACTCTTTCTCTCTCTCTCTTCTAGTATTTTTTCTGACCACTGCTCAGCTTTCTCTTTTTAGTTTTTATACATCTGAGGCTTTTTCTTAATGATTTCATTCTCCATCCTCCTAATTTTTCTGTTCTCTGTTTACATACCTCTTAAGAGTTCTATTGCATGCCCATGCTTTCAATAGGCATATATGCTAACGACTCACGAAGGCATAATTCTGACCCACAACATTCTTGCCCAAGGTTGAGGCAGCAAAACATCTCTACTAAAGCTTTCATGAGTACCTCCAACTGAATGTAGCCAAAACTGGGCTCATCTCCCACCAAACCTCCTCCTCCCATGTTCTGTATTTAAGCAGCATTTACCACTATCTATACAGTTTCCCAAGTTTCTGTTCTCTCTTATTTCTCCAGACTATTAATAACCAGGTCCTATAAAATCTCAACTTTCATCCTTGTCCCCACTTCTTTACTCCGCAGTACCCCCTGAACTGTTGCAATAGTTTTCTTACTGGCTACTCTGGATGCAGTCTTAATTTCCTTTAATCTTGCTTCTGCACTGCTATCAGAGTAATTAGTAGAGGCTGAGAGTGGGTAGATGGAAATTCTGCCCCTTTCCTCTTTAAATTTGTATTTAAAGTTCTCCATTACAAAATAAACTCTAAATTCCGTAGCATAAAGTACAAAGCAATACAACATGCTGCTAAATAGTGGGGCCTCTAGACAGATGTGCATTAAAATCCCCATTCCACCAGCAGTAGTACGGTGACTCTGGGCTAACCTTGGTTTACTCATTTGTAATACGGAGATGACAAAATAACTTCTACCTCATAGGTTGTCATGAGGGCTAAATGAGACAAAATAAGTATAGCTCAGTGCCTGGTACTTAGCAAGTGCCTAATAAGTGTTATATATTATATGATAATAATATAATGTTTTATAATAATCTGGGTCATAACTATTACATTCAGCCTCATTTCCTCCCCCTTGCACTTTATAAGTTGAAAATCACAACTACTCTGAATTCTCTGGGTTCTCTATTCTTTTCATGTTTCAGTGCCTTTGCACATGGCTTACTCATATTGAAACTTCTTCTACCTACACATTTATTCCTCCTGGAAAACTTGACTCATGCTTCAGAATTCAGTTTGACTTCCACCTTCCGTGTCTTGACTTCCATGAGCAGAATTAGGTTCTATTCCTAGGAGTCCACAGCAGTACAGGTTTCTGTCATAACAATCATCCCACTGAATTTCAGTTGCCTATTTTCCTGGGATTCCTACATTTAATTCTCCCATGTGAAGGTTTTGAATGAAAACATGCTTCTCATCCTTGTTTTCCAGTACCTAGCACAGTGGACGGTCTTAATAAATTTTCATTTAATGAATGATTTAATCATCACGAACTCTGTCAGTCACTGTGTTTGTTAGACATTTGTGTGGCATTTAGATCATTTGATTTTTCTTTTAAAACAAATGCAATATAAAGAAAAAGTATTTTAATCCCCATTTGTGGATGAAGATGATGAGACAGGTGAAAAAATATCTCCAAGATCATGTAGTGCCCTCAGGAGGTAGAATACAGACATTTAATTTTTTTGAAATGGGGTTTCTTTTTGTTGTCCAGGCTGGAATGCAGTGGCAACATCAGGGCTCACTGCAGCCTTGACTTCCCAAGCTAAAGTGATCCTTTCACTTCAGCCTTCTGAAGAAAGAAGGAAAAAGAAAGGAAGGAAGGGAGGGAGGAAAGAAAGAAATTGGCAGTTGTTGCAGGGAGTGAGCAGAGGAGTGACAAGATTAGACTATTGTTTCACAGGGTCACTCTGGCTGCTATGCTAACAATAGATTGTGGGAGATGAAAAGACTTACTTACAAATAAAAGAGAGAACAACCAAATAGATGCAATAAAAAATGATAAAGGGGAAATCACCACAGATTCCACAGAAATTCAAACCATCATCAGAGAATATTACAAACAACTCTATGCGCATAAACTAGTAAACCTGGAAGAAATGGATAAATTCCTGGACTCCTGTGTCCTCCCAAGCCTAAACCAGGAGGAAGCTGAAACTATGAATAGACCAATAACAAGGTCTGAAGTCGAGGCAGCAATTAAGAGCCTACCTCACAAAAAAAGCCCAGGTCCAGACGGGTTCACAGCCGAATTCTACCAGACACACAAGGAGGAGCTGGTACCATTCCTTCTAAAACTATTTCAAACAATCCAAAAAGAGGGAATCCTTCCCAAATCATTTTATGAGACCAACATCATCCTGATACCAAAACCCGGCAGAGACCCAACGAGAAAAGAAAACTTCAGGCCAATATCCATGATGAACATAGATGCAAAAATCTTGAATAAAATATTGGCAAGCCAATTGCAACAGCAAATCAAAAAACTTATTCATCATGATCAAGTAGGATTCATCCCGGGGATGCAAGGCTGGTTCAACATACGCAAGTCTATCAACGTAATTCACCACATAAACAGAACCAAAAACAAAAACCACATGATTATCTCAATTGACGCAGACAAGGCATTTGACAAAATTCAACAGCCCTTTATGCTAAAAACCCTCAATAAACTCGGTATCGATGGAACGTATCTCAAAGTAATAAAAGCTATTTATGACAAACCAACAGCCAATATCATACTGAATGGGCAAAAACTGGAAGCATTCCCTTTGAAATCTGGCACTAGACAAGGATGCCCTCTCTCACCACTCCTATTCGATATAGTACTGGAAGTTCTAGCCAGAGCAATCAGGCAAGAAAAAGAAATAAAGGGTATTCAAATAGGAAAGGTGGAAGCCAAATTGTCTCTATTTGCAGACGACATGATAGTATACCTAGAAGACCCCATTGCCTCAGCCCAAAAACTCCTGAAACTGATAAACAACTTCAGCAAAGTCTCAGGATATCAAATCAATGTGCAAAAATCACAAGCATTCGTCTACACCAATAACAGACTTAAAGAAAGCCAAATCAAGAGCGAACTGCCATTCGCAATTGCTACAAAAAGAATAAAATACCTTGGAATACAACTCACAAGGAACGTAAGGGACCTCTTCAAGGAGAACTACAAACCACTGCTCAACGAAATCAGAGAAGACACAAACAGATGGAGAAACATTCCATGTTCATGGTTAGGAAGAATTAATATCGTGAAAATGGCTATACTGCCCAAAGTAATTTACAGAATCAACGCTATCCCCATCAAGCTACCATTGACTTTCTTCACAGAACTGGAAAAAACCACCATGAACTTCATATGGAACCAAAAGAGAGCCCGCATAGCCAAGTCAATTCTAAGCAAAAAGAACACAGCGGGGGGCATCACACTACCGGATTTCAAACTATACTACAAGGCTACAGTAATCAAAACAGCATGGTATTGGTACCAAAACAGAGATATAGACCAATGGAACAAAACAGAGGCACCGGAGGCAACACAACATACATACAACTATACAATCTTTGATAAACCTGACAAAAACAAGCAATGGGGAAAGGATTCCATGTTTAACAAATGGTGTTGGGAAAACTGGCTAGCCATGTGCAGAAAGCAGAAACTGGACCCCTTCCTGACACCTTACACTAAAATTAACTCCAGATGGATTAAAGACTTAAACATAAGACCTGGCACCATAAAAACCCTAGAAGGAAATCTAGGCAAAACTATCCAGGACATAGGAGTAGGCAAGGACTTCATGAACAAAACACCAAAAGCATTGGCAACAAAAGCCAAAATAGACAAATGGGACCTAATGAAACTCCACAGCTTCTGCACGGCAAAAGAAACAGTCACTAGAGTGGATCGGCAACCAACAGAATGGGAAAAAATTTTCGCAGTCTACCCATCTGACAAAGGGCTGATATCCAGAATTTACAAAGAACTCAAGCAGATTTACAGGAAAAAAACAAACAAGCCCATTCAAAAGTGGGCAAAGGATATGAACAGATACTTTACGAAAGAAGACATATATGAGGCCAACAATCATATGAAAAAATGCTCATCGTCACTGGTCATCAGAGAGATGCAAATCAAAACCACATTGAGATACCATCTCACGCCAGTTAGAATGGCGATCATTAAAAAATCTGGAGACAACAGATGCTGGAGAGGATGTGGAGAAAAAGGAACACTTTTACACTGTTGGTGGGAGTGTAAATTAGTTCAACCATTGTGGAAGACGGTGTGGCGATTCCTCAAGGCCTTAGAAATAGAAATTCCATTTGACCCAGCAATCCCATTACTGGGTATATATCCAAAAGAGTATAAATCGTTCTACTATAAGGACACATGTACACGAATGTTCATTGCAGCACTGTTTACAATAGCAAAGACCTGGAATCAACCCAAATGCCCATTGATAATAGACTGGATTGGAAAAATGTGGCACATATACACCATGGAATATTATGCAGCAATCAGAAATGATGAGTTCGTGTCGTTTGTAGGGACATGGATGAATCTGGAGAACATCATCCTCAGCAAACTGACACAAGAACAGAAAATGAAACACCGCATATTCTCACTCATAGGTGGGTGATGAAAAATGAGAACACATGGACACAGAAAGGGGAGTACTAAACACTGGGGTCTACTGGGGGGAAAAGGGGAGGGCCAGTGGGAGGGGGAGGTGGGGAGGGATAGCCTGGGGAGAAATGCCAAATGTGGGTGAAGGGGAGAAGAAAAGCAAAGCACACTGCCATGTGTGTACCTACACAACTGTCTTGCATGCTCTGCTCATGTACCCCAAAACCTATAATCCAATAAAAAATTAAAAAAAAAAAACACACACACACACAAAAAAAACAAAACAAAACAAAAAAAAGACTTACTTACAAAACGTATATGTACATAATCTTAAAGTTGAAAGGAACCTTTCAGAACAGGTAATGCCAACCTCTCTTTTGTTTGAGACAGTCTTGCTCTGTCACCAGGCTGGTGTGCAGTGGCGCTATGGCTCACTGCATCCTCCACCCCCCAGGCTTAAGTGATCTCCCATCTGTCTCAACAACAACAACAAAAAACCAATCTGTCCCCCACTCCTCAGTCAAGCTATTAGGTAACCACAGTTCACTGAGGACATATCACATACTTAGGGAAAAAGAAGTTAGCTCTAGGTGGGTGGGGTGCTATGCCACAATCACTAAAATGACTTTTTAGTTGACATAGTGCTGGAATATTAGTCACTCTGTGATACACATTTGGTTCTTCTCCTAGTGTGGTATAGTAAAAAGGCCTTTGAGCAGAGTAACAGAAGACTTGGGTTCTGGGTCCAGTTTATCCAGAAACTTAACAAGTGAAATTGAGTAGTAATTGATCTTCTCTTGGCTTCAATTTATTTGTATTAATATAATCAGGAGGTTAGATAATCACTTAATTTCCTCTTGAGGATAACATTCTAAGAAACTCTTACTTCTTTCTCTGTTTATCACTGTCTGGAGTCCAGCATCAACCTTTAGACCTCTGGCTGGATTTGTTTCACTTTTTTATTTTCTAAGAATCGTGGAAGCTTGAACTACAGGTTCATGTGTTGGATTCTAACTTTCTTATTAGATGTGGATAAAAAAGCAGGGACAAATGGACTATAATTTCTAGTGAAGAATGTAGCTTTACTTGTACTTACCCCCCCTTCTTCATTGCTGATTGGTGGGCGTCCATAACCTGGTGGCGGTACCCTCTGAGAAGTGAAAAACACAGAGAACACAGGAGAAAACACTTTCTATGCTGCCATTTGTTTATAAGAAGCAAGGTATCTAAAAATAGCTCAAGTCAGTGATTGAGCTCAGTTAGTACCATGAGCTTTTAACTTCGGAGTGATTGGGTCTCACAGTCCAGCTGCTAAGAATTGTGATCTAACAATGGAAATACAAAGGCTTCAGCTGGATCCTAGATTTTCCTACTTAAAATACTCTACATGGCTGCATCTCCTGGCAATCCTCCTTACCACCTCTAACACTTACAAACACATCCCTCGCAACCCCCCACAAACACACACCATACACACACATACAGAGAGAGAGTGTGAGAGAAAGAAATTTGAGTGCTGTTAGAATCCAAGCATCTGTATTAGAACATCTAATAATAGAGTTTAAGTAAAGATGTTATTTTTAGAATGTGGCTTCATGTTTAGGGGATTATTACTATGATTTTTTGTTTGACTAAAGTTAATTCTCCTAATCAAACTTGGAGGCTAAGTTTCTCTCAAGTTTTATGTAGATGAGAGTAATAGTTACTTCAGCATGAGAATCATGTTTATCTGCTTTTAAAATCTTTACTTTGTACTTCCTTAATTTCCTTAGTTCAGTATAGCCAATAAGAGGAAGTCACTCTTTTAAGAAGGAAAAAAGAAGGAACTCTTACTCCTTAAGATGAATTCTTCCTCATTGATAAAAAACCTTCTTGGTTATAGAGTTGTAGACAAGGAAAACCTATGTCATAGCTGAATAAACAGTCAACAAATATTTCCTGTTGTTTTGTTTAACAGCAATTGACCATTAATATTTCTTTAGCTCAAAAAGTTTATTTTACCATTCATATTTTTAAAGCCTATGATGCAATTTCAATATTATCTTTTAATGATTTTAAGTGTTTAAGATTCTTTGAGGCTTCTTGGAAATAATATTTTGCAACATTCTTTTTTTCTCTTTTTTTGAGACGGAGTCTTGCTCTGTCACCCAGGCTAGAGTGCAATGGCACGATATCCTTACTGCAACCTCTGAACTTGGGTTCAAGCGAGTCTCCTGCCTCAGCCTCCTGAATATATGGGATTACAGGTGACTGCCACCACACCCAGATAATTTTTGTATTTTTAGTAGAGATGGAGTTTCACCATGTTGGTCAGGCTGGTCTCAAACTCCTGACCTCAGGTGATCTGCCTGCCTTGGCTTCCCAAAGTGCTGGGATTATAGGCATGAGTGACTGTGCCCGGCCAAGATTCTCTTTTTTGAGACAGAGTCTTGCTCTGTTGCCCAGGCTGGAGTGCAGTGGCTCAATCTCTGCTCACTGCAACCTCTGCAGCCTGGGTTAGAATGACTCTCCTGCCTCAGCCTCCTGAGTAGCTGGGTTTACAGGCATGCACCACCACACCTGGCAAATTTTTGTATTTTTAGTAGAGATGGGGTTTCACCATGTTGGCCAGGGTGGTTTTGAATTCCTACCCTCAAGTGATCCACTGTCTCGTCCTCTTAAAGTACTGGGATTACAGGCATGAGCCACCATGCCCTGCCCCAAGATTATTTAGAATGATGTATCTGTGGCTAGAAACAGTATGATAGGATGAAACTGTCATAGTCTAATCATAGCTTACCCTATGGTTTTCAAATTCCATTTTGCCCTGTGTCCCAATTTCCCCATTACAATAAACAAAGATAATCTGTTTTTTTTTTTTAATTTCTCAAGGATGTGGGGAAATAGTAATGAAGTAGCACAACTTTCTAAATTAATTTATTAGCTAAGTTACTGTTATCTGTTTGGTGATTTAGGTTGTATTTATGTCACCAATTTGAGTATAAAATTCAAAAAAATTCTCTATTCTTTTTCTGCATTATTACTGCTATGGTTTTATTTCATACCCTCTACTCATTGGTATATGATATTCCATTAGAGTGTATGAGTTTATATTAATTTAAATTATAACATACTAATATTATTTTTCACTTATAGTGTAAAGAAAACAGAATTCTCACCTGTGGAATTTGCCATGGTGGTTGTTGATAGGGGAACAGTCCATTGCCAAATGGTGGGAATGCCTAGAGAGAATCAGAGTGATGTGGATTTGAGAAGAATACATTTTAAAAATGAAGCAAACTAACTAAATACAATTGAAACTTGGGAGTCTACATTTCACTTTACATTAAACTGTGTGTTTTTTATGGGGCAAAGATGATAATGAAAATAACAATTAGTATTATTGGACACTTGTTCCAGGCTCTGTGCTGAGCATTTTATATTGTTAAACTCACTTCATCCTCACATAACCATAGAGGATGTGAACTATTACTATTCCCATTTTACTTAAGAATATGAAGTTCAGAGAAGTTTGGTCACTTGCCCAAAATCTCATAGCTAGTAAATGATTGAAGCCACCATTTCAATCCAGGAGAGTCTTTTCATTCAATTTCGTATTCCTTACATCTGTAATAGTGTCTGATAATAAGTGCTAACTGACTGAAAGCCAGTTTTTTTTTCTTTTTTCTTTTTTCTTGAGACTGAGTCTTGCTCTGTCACCCAGGCTGGAGTGCAATGGCATGATTTTGGCTCATTGCAACCTCTGACTCCCAGGGTCAAGTGAGTCTCCTGCGTTAGCCTCCTGAGTAGCTGGGATTACAGGCATGCACCACCATCCCTGGCTAATTTTTGTATTTTTAGTAGAGACAGGGTTTCACCATGTTGGTCAGGCTGGTCTTGAACTCCTGACCTCAGGTGATCCACCTGCCTCTGCCTCCCAAAGTGCTGGGATTGCACGCATGAGCCACTATGCCCTGCCTAAAAGCCAGTATGTTCGATGCTCCCTTCACACTGGATGAGATCTTGAGAAACCATTTGCACATCTTCTTGCCTTATGTCATACTAGTACTGGAATAATGTTAATTTCAGAGGAATATTTTACAGCATCAAAGCATAGACCTGGATGAAACTTGGAAACCATTTAGTTTACTCATGGGGAAACCGGAACCTAGAAAGGCGAAGCAACTTGTTCAATACCATATGACTAATAAGGATCAGGGACAGGACTTGAACCTTTGATTCTTGACTGTTAGATTAGTGCTCATGTTATTATACCATGTTGTCTCTGTCATTTACAAGGAGCTTTTTAAAAGTAACGGTGTTTGGGTAATTTGAAGCAAACAAGACTGGAGTTGGCTTCCCATGAAGTTTTGGATGCACGTCAAAACAAAGGATGGTATTGCAATGTAGTACCTGTGTTGAAGTGCGTATGTCGGGGTGGCATAGCCCTCCAGATCTCTCCGAGGCCATTTACAGATATGCAGTTTTTCTGTGCAAGCCTCACCTGAGGTGGCTGATCTTCCTCTTTGGGCTGAGCTGGAGTATGTGATGGCTGCTTCAAAGGCCGCTTTTGCGGTGGCTTTTTTGACTGAGTCTGATTGGGTTTCTGGGTTTCTTGGGTTTGATCAGTCTTGTTATGACGTTTGGGTCCTGAGGGTTTCTGTGGGTTGAGTGTGTTGGGTGGTGGATGAGGCCACATGGGCATCTGGTACTGAGGAAATTGCTGAGGGAGTTGCAGACCATTTCCAAAGAAGGGGCCCAGGTGTGCCATCTGAAAGGGTAGCAAATAACAGTGAAATCGTAATAGAGTTGAGATTCAGGCTCTCTGCATCCTCTAATGTCAGCCTCTAAAACTCAGCCAAAGAGCTTTAAGGTCCTATGGGACATGACTTAACAATGAAAACTTCAAGATCTTTAGTTAGAATTTCTTTACACATTGTCTTATAGAATGAACTTCAGTCTTTTAGAAAGCCAAACAACCAAACCACCCAAAAGGCAGAATTAGGTGAGACATCTCAGTTTAAGAATTTGACTGATGATTTTCTAACTCTGAAACCCTAACTCAGGTAAGAAGTATGCAAGTCAGATTACAGAGGATTTAATGTCATATTCAGAACCCATGTAATTTGTTATAAGGCTGGATGAAGAAGAGAAAAAGCAAAAATAAGATAAAGGAAATAAGACTGTAAAGCAAAAAATAAAAAAAACAAGAAAAAAAGGAAAAAAGAATAAAAATTCAGTCTGTATAAACACACTTACATTGTGTCTATGTTTCTTAGTTACAGGTGGATCCTCCTTAATTCCATTTTTAAGAATCCCTTGTAATTTCAAGAATCCCCACAATTACAAGGTTGGGCAGGGAAGCAAAAGTAGTTATTATCTGAAAATGTTAATTTGTGAATTTATGATAATTTATAAAAATGCTAATTTCTGAATCTGTGATAATTTATGAATGATCTGTCTTGCAACATCAGTTCTCATTCAAATATTTCCTCCCTGGTTTAACGCCTGTCTCTATCCCCAGTCTTCATTAATTAGTCTCTTGCTATCTATCAGATGATGTACCCATGCTTAGTAGATTGATGAAATTCAAAATTGCAAATCTTGCATTAAGACGCAGGATTTCATGACAACTAAGTTAGTAAAAATTTCAAATCATGAGCAAAGTCACTAAAACTAATAATGAGAATATGAAAACGTTGAGCTAATCAAAAGTTGAGGAAGAGAAAATTTACAGTGTTGATTATTTTAGGCAAAGGGCTTTAAAAGAGAATTACTTGAATAGTTACAAAAAAAATTGATGTAGTCCTTGATTTTCCCCTAAAAATGGCCCTCATGATCATTCCACAGAAATCAAAAGTGATGTGTAGTGCTATTGTGCTACACAATATTGTTGTCAGAAAATTTGTGCCAAAGAACCACCTGATACTTGATTTATTATTAGTTTGTTTGGATAATTAGCATGCAGTGACAGGAATAATCTATATTTATTTAAATAACATAAAACTTGCTTCATAATTACAACATTGTCTTTCAAGATAATCCAAATAAAACTTACCCCCCACCAATACTTGCTACTTACCATATTATTTTTATTGTCATTATTTGTGAAATCTTCTGAGATATTTTCCCAGAACATTTTTCTTTGATATAAATAATGTTTCTA